AAACCTATTGTAAATTATGAAATTTTACATGTAAGCAAAAACTGAAGGCATAATGCATTGCTTCGATTTACCAGAAAGTGGTAAGTTTTGTTTGTATAATGATTCCTCGTTATACTAACAAGTAGTCCCCAGTGTATTTTGTAGAGTAACCACATTCTAATAAAACACCTCATTCCAATGACTCTTATTAAATCTTCTGAGAAGATGAGGGAGATAGAGTAATTATCTGCACTATTGCAGCAGGGGTAGTTAGCAAGGTTTGACTGTAGCTGTAGTTCTCAGAACTTGCATACTTTCCAGAAAAAAAACCTTGCTAACAGTGTTAAGGATTCCTATTTCAGATGGATTCATACTTTGAAGATGGCAAAGTAATCAAGACAAAGTAATATTTAATAAGCAGTCTCTCTTGCCAGAGTTACGTTGAATCCTGTAAGTACTTTGTGCAAGTCTGCTGCAAAGAATCCTCACAGAGAAACAACAAATCTCGAACAGCAGAATGAAATTCCTTTTTGCAGAGATGAGATAAATGACTAAATGTGCATGCAGTAATGTCCCCTTGGCTCCTTCCTTCCTTCTCCTTGGCATAAGCTGAAGGCATGCTAACACCAAAACCTGTGACATTTTAAAACAATAATCAAGGTTAATGGAAGAAGACAACGTGTACTTGTCCAAACTAAAACTCAAACAATGGGATTTGGGAAACAATGCAGGCTCTGAATTGGAGAGCTGATATTTGAATGCAAAACAAATGGCATGATGAGCTGCAGACTGAAAGCTAGAATCTCTATTTTTAACCAGACGGTTGAAGTCGTGAAGCCAAGATACTTGTTCAAAGCAGCAAATAACACCAGAGGTAGTGACAAGCTGACAGAGTCAGTTTGTGTGTGTGGAAAGGAGGGTGAGGAACTGCGTGCAGCTAAAACAGCTGAGTTTTCCAGGTCTGCAGGTCGTTCATAGATTTTAGATGGCATTGATTTTTGTCAGCAATAACAGATCCTAAACGGGATCTGAGCTGAATTTGCTTTTGAAATCGAAGTTGTGGCAATGTGCTGTTGGGGAGAGTGGGCAGAACCTGCCACACAAGGCATGTGCATTTGTATCAGCAGAGCGGAAGAAGATTCCATAAAACACAGATGTTGAGAAGTCCTCTCGTTTGGGAGACCTTTTAAAACTGTTGTCTGTGAAGATGCACTGCATGGACCATAGGAAGGAAGCAGCCTGTCAGTGAACAAGAAGTAAATTCCTGGTTAGGAATATACAGCAGCAAGCGTTCACGCACAGCGTTAGAATCGTGTTGGGGTGCTGTTTGGGGGGGGGTGCAGGAGGTGCATTGAGAACCATGTATTCTCAGCAGAGGGAGCAAAGCACTTTCTCCCAGGGCTTAGTTTCCCACTTGTTCTTTGTGTGTGAGAGCATGAGGGAGATTAAAAGATTGGATTGGTAGTCTGTTACTGAAAACCTTCCTCACAGGAAAGAAAAATGGGATTATTTTCCCTCTCTTGGGGCTTTAAAACTCTGGCTCTCACCAGGGCTTTGTGATTAATGGACGTGACAAAGTTTGCACTCCAGGATCGGTTTTTAATGAAGCTATTCTCAGGTTCGGTTGCCTCTCTCTCTGTGTAATGCCCCCAAATTGAACTCATAGGTTACTTCACTAGACCGATTTGTTAGCTCAGGTCTTTGCAGGGGAGGGGGGAGTCCCTGGTGTTTGGAGGTCAGTGTTGATCCCAAGGCTGCTGACTCAGCGGTTGCATTATATCTGTGACCTCCTTCGCGCTGCGTGTGCCCTGCAGCCTGCAGCAGGGGTTCTTTTACCGCTGGAACATAACAATTCGGACAAACTGTCAGGCTGCGGAGGTTGGTTTTCCCGCTTTTTCAACGACATAGACAAAATGCCTTTTTCTGACAGCGTATAAAACAGGTGAAAATCCTGGGATACTTTGCAGAAGGGGTTTTTTGGTGTGTGTTTTTTTGGGGGGGTGGGGGAGCTTGCTTTTCTTTCTCTCTCGCTCTCTCTCCCTCCGCCGCCCTCCCCTGGCTCCCCTGATTTCATTTCTGGCTCCTCCAGGAGCACCGACAGGCTCCTTCGCGGGAGGTAAGGCTGCCATCTG